TTAGTTAATTTATATAACTCTATAAGTTAATTTAATTAATAAATTTTTATATCTAATCTTTAAAAAGTTATATCTTATTGAGTTTTTAATTAAATTTAATAATTTATTATTATTAAAATCAAAAAGACCTGCTCTATAAACTTTTCTTATAAATTAATATTAGTTTATTTAATATAATTTTTTATAAAATTAAATATAAAAAAATTTCACTATTGAGTTTATATATAATTTCAATATAGTACCTCTTACTCTTAAATAAAGTTTCTATTTTCTATATTCAAAAATAAAAAATATTTCAAAACTAGTTAAATGGTTCTGAATTAAATATTAAAGTTCAATATTTAGTCAAATTTAAATAAGAGTTTTATCATCTATTTTCAGAATTTATTATCAGTTATAATCTTTAAGTAAGAATTTTATAATTTGATAATTTATTGTATTGTTTACCATTTGGTCATCAAGTATACCAAATACTAGATTTTATTGTTGATTCAACATTCAGTCTTGTAAATATCTTGAAAAATTTATATTTGTTTTTGACAATAAACTTTTACAAAATGCTAAAATTATGAATAATTCAAAAATTGATCAGTTAGTTTAAAAATTAAAAAAAAAAATACAAAAAGAATTTGAGTTGTATAAAAAATAATTAAATTGTTGATTTTATTTTCTTCTAAGTATTGCCATTTTGATAAAAATAGTACATAATAATTTATATATAGTTATTAACATATTATATTTAAAAAAACTTGGTCTCAATATTCTAATCCAGAAGAACTTTGTTATGCAAAAAATTTTGAAATGAACATAAAAAAAAAGAATTGATGACTTTGACTTTAAGACTGTACTAAATGATAAATCATTTTTTTTAAGAATTTAACAAGTTCATTAAAAAATCAAATGTTTTACTTCATAAATACCTACAACTATATGATTTTGTTAAAAACAAAATCTGATACATTATTGCTCATCAACAACAAATAGAAAGGTTGTTTATAAGTGGAATTAAAGACTCACCAAAATATGACCAATGATACTCAACAGTCCAAAATGCATCTTTCAGCAACTGAAATAAAAGAACTTCAATTTACTAATGAACAATTAAAGAATATTCAAAATAAAAATAGAATAACCTACCAACATGATTCTATTATATTAGTTCATTCAGACCAAGAAAGAGGACGACGTGCAGATAGTCTTTTTGATGAATTATTTATGTGTCGCTAAGGTTCAAATGTTAATTAATAATAAAACTAGTTTTGGCTAAAAACACATCACATAATGGCCTCACCATTAATATTAAAAAAAAAAAACACATCACATAATCACGAGAATGAAATAGTCAAATATCACAAAATATCTGTATTATTGATTTTTATTATCGTAGAGTGTCCAGAATTCTGCGGTGCATAAATCTGCTCACTTTAGAAATATTTTTTCCTATTGTATTTGTAAGATCCCAGTAAGACATGGTGTCCGTATTGTGCAAATAAGGTCAGTCATACAATTGAAGATGCTAAGCAAGTTGCTTTTTGTAAGAATGGAGAATGCCTTTCCGAAACGTATGATAATAGTTTTTCACCTTTATCATGGCATTGTTCTGAAGGGCATGAGTGGAATGCATCTTTTAACAATGTGAAAAATAATAAGACGTGGTGTCCATATTACGCAAATAATAGACCTTGTACACTTGAAGATGCTAAACAATTGGCTTATAATAGAAAGGGAGCTGAATATTATATTAATAATCGTTCAGCTTTATTATGGATGTGTGATAAAAAGCATAGATGGTTTGCTACTTTTGATAATGTTAAACATTTAAACTCGTGGTGCCCATTCTGCCCGAAATATAAAAGAGAAAAGCTATGTCACGAGATTTTAACAAAATATCTAACGATCCTAGTATCGCCCTCAAAAAATGGTAGCCGGACAGATCTGCCGGGTACATGTGATGACAATTCAATTATTAATCAAAAAATGTCAGCGTATTTATGAATTATCAAACAATAAATATGGTCTCTAAGTTTTTCATAAGAATTTTTTTAATGAATAACATGAATCGCTTAAAATTTTATTGTTTATACGTTTTCTTTTGGTTATATTTGTAGTAAATTCAATTTTTTTACAAGCATTTGTTTTTTATTTCTATTTTGGACCAATAAGTTAGTGATTTCAAAAGATGGGCTTATTTAGTACTATAAAAAACGTTTATGAGACTAATCAAATGATCCAAAGGTTATAATGGATGGTAATTTATTTAAATTACCAAAAATTCTTCAAGATGTAAAAATGTTTGAACTTTAGATAATTTTTTTTTAAGATAAAATTTTATAATTGTCGTGCCAATTTGTTCTTGAACATGAAAATTTATTTGGTTTGCATCGTAAAATTTTTTTACTTTGATTCCTTTTTCATTCAAAAAATCTTCATTATTTGAATAGTATGACAGGATTTGGGTTGTTGATCTGACATAGTAAAAGAACTTATAGTTATAAAAAAAAAAATTTGTTGATAATCAAAGAAAAAAATTTTCAAATAAATATAATAAAGTAGTATAAAACTATAAGCAAAATCCATAAAAATTTAAGCAATAACAGCACAGCGGTAACGATGGTAGATGAAAAATTTTTTTATTCGTTATTGTATGGTAATGATAGTGAATTTTACAAGTACACAGAACTTTTTTTGATTTGTAATCAAAATTGCTAATAAACAAATCCGAATCACATAATGTATAGTTATTGGATGCGAAGCAGCCAATAACGGAAAATAATTTCATTATCTGGCAGTGAAATTTAATATGTCAGCTTCTGGGCCCGAAGGGGCCCTGAAATGACGCATATTAAATTTGCCAGATAAACGAGTTATTGGCTGAGTAGATTCAATAACGGTATTATCCGACACCTTACTATGATCGTACCAACAGAATGGCTCGAGTTCTTTTGGTGATGATTGCGTCATCATCAAATAACGGAGTTAACTCGAGTTATTCTGTTGGTACGATCATAGTAAGGTGCCGGATAATAGCATGTACCCGGCAGATCTGTCCGGCTACCATTTTTTGAGGGCGACGCTAGGGTCGTTAAAATATCTTGGCCCTCCTTCACTAATCCGCAAACCTAATTTTCTCAAAACACCAGAATGTCCCACAGGATTAGAACTTGATATTTATTACCCAGAATATGGTTTGCAATCGAAGTATAAGGCGTACAATACGAAAAATATATCAAATTCTTCCATAATGGCGATCCCAATAATTTTATCAAACAGCAAGTGCGGGATCAACTCAAGAAAGAATTATGCAAGGAGAATCAGATTGCACTAAAGTATGTTTGGTATTACGAAGACTCATTTGTAGTTATTCCAGAGCATCTTTGTGAATTAGGTCTTATTGAGTTAACTCGAAACTTTAAATGCGTTTGCAATTTTGCGAATTAGACATTTATTATTTTTTAGTGAAATATGTGATTTATGAGTTGTTTCGATATTGGATTCACACTCCAGCTTTATCCATACAACTTTTAATCATATTTATATTGTATAAGAAGAGTTAAGTGTTCGGTATACTAATGCAAGATAAGCAACTTAATTGTAATGTAAAATTCATATTTCGCAATAATTAAAGAAATAAATGACTAGACCAATTCTACTAAAATAATCTTGATGGAAAGATAAAAAAAAGAATGCTTTATCTATAATATCCGCGGAAATAAGATCATTCATCTAGTTGAAGAAGGGAATTCGCAGATGAGAACCGGGAGGGTCTCTTTTCGGATCTTGCATCATCAAAGGATTTTATTACGTCCTGAACTAACAACTAAATTTATAATCAATATTCAAAGTTAGCGAATTTTTGATGCATACAACACAAAACCCTGCAATAACACTAACCGCCCATTTCAATATACATTCATAAAAATATACAAATCTTGCATCTCCGAAAAATCCCGTGGTAAGTTGGCGTTATCAACCTCATTTAGTCGAAAATTTCCTAAATTGATATTGACAGTAAATATCAATTCTTCATACGTAGTATAAATAAAAAAAGCATACGCACTACAGTAATCAAGATAATATAAATGAAGACGTAGTCGAAAACTCTGTGCGCCAAATATAAACAATCTCTTTGGTAAACGCCTACGATTTTTGATTACTTCTTTTACAATTTTTGAAAATATATTTTTCAGATTGCGAGCAATTTTTTCAGCGTCAGCGATTTCTTTATCTTGCTTCGCAACTGGCTTGGAGCCTTCCACATATACAATTTGGAATTTATCAGCATTGGTCATAAAACCTACACCATCTGCACGGTCCTTATTAATATGGTTTTTCGAGGGAATCTCGCCATACTCGTAATGTATTTTCGCTATGTTCCATAAAGCACTATCTAGGCATGGATGTACAAACGCGTTAAGGTGTGCTTGCTCGATTGTTGCAATGTTTTGAAGAGGGTTTTGAGTTCCAAGTGAAAACGCTTTTATGCTACTCAAAAGAAAAATGATTAGAACAGAATTTGGAAAAATGAATTAATATGATGATAATGACTACATACAACTGTGGTAATGTACGACGTAAAATTCGTACTAGTGCAGTAATTAGATTGTTTTGTTCTGATGATCGTAAATCATCAACTTTAATTTGCCAATCATTATCAGAAATATTTTGTGAGAAGAATTGTACTAGGAATTGGTGCACATCATCAGGAATTAACGATTCCGTTATAATGTCCATTTCTGATAGGTATAACTTTGCTATCGATCTTGGAAGCATTTTGAAGAAAGATGAACATGAGCGAAGGTCGATCAAATCTCCATCAGGATATTGTTCCGTATAAATCGACCAAATTTTTTCCGCTAATTCCGAGTATTCAACGGCATTCCCTAAGACATCTACTATCGCCTGCACGGTTGAAAAAAATTAATAATGTCACAATCGTAGAATGTATTATTACACAGTTACATACTTCATTAAATTTTCCCACTTCATTTTTACTATTATCCACATCCTCAATACCGATGTCCTCGTTTTCAGTTGGGTATTCGTTAGTTCGTTTCTGAGTCAGAGAAAAATCTTAGTATTATTATTTATAAAAAATCGATGAAAACAACTAACTTACTCTCTTCTGATCATGAACCGAGTTTCCACCATCGATACCATCATCTAATAGTGTATGAAATGAAGCATGTGCCTCCCGTTTTCTTTGTTTTATCTTGTCCTATTATTTCGAAGATGTAACCTTTTGTCAGCATACACCTAAGTTTCTTCACTCAAATAAAAAAAAACATACATTGACTTTTTCATTCTTCTTCCAATCCTCATATTGCTTCCAGTCATCATTATACTCTTTACCATTAAACTTTTTTCGTAAATCCAACAGCTTTTCCGATTCAGGAGCATCTTTTAACGCGTTTCCAAACATAAACTATAATCATTATAGCCAGATAACCTTTTTCAGTATTTGAACTCCACAAAGAAGTTCACCGGACGAGGGTCTGGGTATGTCTTCAAGAATTTGACTTGCTCTTCCCGAACTTCTTGTGTTCTTGGCATTTATTGCTTTTGTTAATTTTGTTAACAGACGTGAAAAAGCGCGATAATTTTTTGCTGTGATGATTACCTACTGATTCGATAGATGATTGGTTCCTGTCATACGTATTAATATAGATTCATTTATGAGAATTTTCCTTTTCAAAGTGTAGTTGATTTACTCGAGCTGAAAAAACTGAGGTTAATCGCTTGTATTCTGCGGATATCTCCCTGCACAAGCGGATGCTTAGGTATTAAGTTGAAGGTCGGGAAAAAACTGAGGTTATTCATCATGGATAGCGGGGACATTATGTCCGTACGTAAATGACTGAGGTCGACCATGATGGTACGCTTCAACGTTGACTACACTTCTTTCAGTGATAGTATACTGATTTGACCTTTACTATATATTTTCATATATTAACAAAACCCTACGCTAAGGGAGTACTTGTCGTTTGCTATCTCGATTACTAATTTTATTTAACAAAAGCTTATTATTACCCAGGCACGATGTAATAAATATAGAGGAATATGACACGCTTTCAAGGGAGGGAGTACGTGGACCTATACATGTGTGCCGAAAACGAAAATAATTTCGGCTGCCGAAATTAATCGCACGGGCTTTAACTGTCTTTTTGTATGAACTTGATTGCCAGTTTGTACAAACTTAGTGTGCAAAACCTGTAAGGCATGATATAGCAATATGCATTTATATAAGTTTTACTGTAATATAATACTCCTTATTCAATACCTTACTATTAATAGCGTAAAAAAATTTTATCTATATTAATTTCACCTTTTTATTATTTTTTAATATAAAGAAATAACTAATAAAATCAACCTTTCGTAATACTGGTCAACACACGATAATCCGAAGTCTCTGGATTATTTATGTTACACATTATTAAATAAGTAGCTGCGCGACGTTGTCACGCAAAACCAGGAACGGAAGGTGGATTTTCAGATCGAGTTGCAGATGAAAC